CAGAAACGTTAAGGAAGACAGCAATTTGTTCAGTGAATATCATTAGATGAACCTTTCTGTGCTTTCTTGACAATTTCATCATGTCACTAGTCTCTTATTAACATATGTAGCAAGTCCAGGCATCACGGGCTACTTAGTATTTGCTTTAATAGAAATGAAAAGCCAGAGCTAGCACCATGCAGAGCCTACATGCACTCATATGTTCTGACTCACAACTTCAAAGTAGACTCACAACTGAGTGCATTTTATGTTGGATGAGATTTTGAAGGTTTCATAGCTTTCTCTGCTTTTCTAAAGTCAAGCCGAAAAGAACCTATATTGATGCAGTGCATCAGGTTTTTTCTTCACCTTTTTGCTCACCTTTAAACTAAAAAAGATGGACATTAAAACGAGGAAATTATTGTGTAGTTTATTTTTCCTTACTTGTCATTATGTCACCCTCTAGTTTACACTGATTTTGCTGAATGCATTCCTATTCTGTTTGCTGTTTTTCTTTTATTTGCAGCCTATCAAATCTTTTAGAACATTATATTTTGTAATATCTGCAAAATATCGCATGTGAGGCAGAACATCTCAAAGTCAAAGACTAATAATAATAACTCATAATTATTTTTTTTAAATATGTCCGTTGTCTCTATACTCGAGCTATGGCTCTATTGCCAATTACTTTGCTCCAGTTATGCCACAATTTGACATTTATGTGCCCTCTCATTGACTTGGTTAAGCCTAAGCTGAGTGAACGTAGCCTCTGAAATCTTTGTTGTTTCAAACCTACATTTAAATTCAGTGTTTTTACCAATTGCAAATTTCACCCTCACACTACAGTTTTTGAAATGTCACAGGTATTTAACTTGGCTATCAACTAATCATATTCAAATAGGAAGCTCTAAAGGTCAATGAGGCTTGCTCTTAACCTAGGAACACTACAAACACTTTTCCCATCTTCATCGAAAAGTCATAGAAACTCACTAGAAATGTCAGTTGTAATTATACTGCTACGTAGAAATCAGCGATGCCGAGAGCAGAAATGCTATAAAGTTCTCAAGGCAGTAAAATAATGCTCTGAAAACTTCTCTTGAGCCATATAACTACATTAGAACAGCCGGTTTCGGGAAGGCATCAGGAAGCTGCTTGCCTTTAAATGAGTGCAAAATGATCCAATTAACACCTATGGCTTTTTAATAATTTGAGCCTGTAGCAGTCATTTCCACAGATCCTCTGAGAAGCGTAAGGATGTTCATCAAGGATATGACACAGGAATCTACACAGTCCAAAAATCACACAACAAGCTAAGAAGTGAATTTTTCAGCCCTCGGGCTGTATTTAGTAAGATTTGTGGCAGGCAGTTTTCCTATGGAGAGCAGAATTACTTCTACAACATTATTAACATTATACAGACTCACATTTTGGTAGCAATAAAATGAAGAATAGGGGAAATATTAGTTTTTAATTAAAGCATTTTTGGGGTGTAAAAATATACACATTTTTATTAACTTATCTATTAAGTAGAGGTTTAAAACCTTTGAAGGTCCATTAAACTTGAATTGTTCATATACATTTTTTCAACATAATCCATGACTGGAGCTAGAAGGTTGAAATGAATTGGTAAGGCATGATGCTTATACAGTATTCAACTTTGAATTATTTCCCCCAGACTTGCTATTAATTATAGTTGCTCACATCCTGTTGTAAGGCTGTGAGAGATGAGATGATAGCTACTTCAAACGCTTCTCTTCATTGAAAAATTGAATATGAAAGTTGCAACATTAGTATGTCAGACCTTGATCCTCCTTCAGTGCAAAATCTAGGCTGGCTTTTAGCTGCTTGTCTTTGGTTTTCTTCAGCAGCTTGAAGTGAATCATGTTTCCGAATACACTGTATGGACAAAGGTATCAAAGTCATCTTTGAATTGAGCTGTTTTCAGATGCAGTGCCACACGTGCTTAAGATCAGCTGCCTAGCCATTCAGTCTGCTTTTACAAGCATTTGTAAAGGAATGGATTCTACTAAAGATCTCACTGAGCTCATTTGAGCATGGAATTGTAATAGGATGGAACCACAAGTCAGTTTGTGAAATTCCTTCAATCCGAAATATTCCATGATCAACTGTAAGTGGTATGATCACAACGCGGAAGCGTTTAGGAACCATAGCAACTCACAATGCTTCTCAGTACTGAGTGCTCAGATGCGTAGCGCATATGTGCACTGCATGCTAAGGTGAATTGTGCATATCAGGCTGCATCTTTGCATGACGGTAGTTAAGCAGATTACATTTAAGAGTAACTGTCGTTTTTTAACCTGTTTACCAGGTTGGTCAACAACTATGAATGTAATCCTATCTTCTTGACAACATATGTACTGTTTAAATGATCAGCATAAAATATTAACATTGCATTGTGGTCCTACCAACTAGCAGTGCACTATGAAATTTGTCCTCTGTTCTCTGGTCACGAACAGTCCATAGTGTTTTTCTCTAATCTGACACGTCAGCTTTCATATTTCTTGTGGTAGTGAGCGGCAAATCACAGCACAGTAAGGCATAGATTTTTTTACATCACCAGAATTCAACTCTGCTTTTATTGTGTTACCCATTAACATGTTTCCTTTTAACTTTATATCTGTACATCAATGAAATATATTTGCTTTAAGGTAGATGTAAGTGCATTAAACAGTCAATTATGCACTTAACCTTGGGTTTATCTCATATTTCTTTGACTTAATTTCTAACACTGAAAAGTAATAACAGACACACAATAGAAACCACTATTACTTTCCTTGAGGTAAGCAGCATTTTAGTTGCAGTTGCCTCTACTGGGAGAAAGAAATGTTTTAATACAAATACTGTGCAGCCTCTGGAAACTGACTAGTGATGATAAATGTCACTATGAATAGTTTAAAGAAGAACAACTTAAAGAGCAACCAGGGCTTTTCTGCCTAGTCAAAAACAGTCAAAATGTTGTGAACCTCAGGCTCAGAGCTTTACTATGAGATTAAAATAATAGTCAGAATTTGCAACATATTGGCTCTGTAAACCTCAAATACAATCACAAATATTTCCTTGCCTTGGGTAAATACTTCCATGTCCGTGTGAATCTGGCCTCATGCCAGATTCAAGGCATGTTGCACGAATGCTAATGTCTAATAATGTGCAGAACGAGGAGAGGTTTGTGTTACACAACTAACACGCTGAGGTGCTCGCAGATAAGAGGCATTACTAAATGAAAGATCTGACAAGATGAAGAACCTTTCCAAATAAATAAAAACACTAAACCGAAGAGAACACTTGACTGCAGATTACCTGTGTGAATTTGTAGCTGATAACCACTAGAGTGATCTGTTTGTCAGTGCATATTGCACTACATACTGTGTCTAAATTCAGCCAAATTTTGTATCATAACCAGCTGGATATGTTATACTCCTCCCTGAGTAGAACTGGAACCGTTGTGAGTAATTATTCAGTAGAAAGTGAGTCATGCTGATGATCTTTTGCTCCAGGAAAGATGTGACTTAATGGCTATGATGAATCCAGTCCACATTACTCTTCACAATGCATTATACTGAAGAACATTATACAAGCAGTATGACTGAATTAAAATGAAGATGATGTTTGATGGCGGATGTGTGGGCTGGATATATAATGCATTAAAAACTTTGTTTTAAGTAAAGATGTAAAACATAAAATCTTCTGGATTGGACTGAATAAAAGAGAAAGAAATTTGATGTTTTTAAAGAATCTCTTTTACCTTCAAGCTCTTTGGGATTTTAAAAAGGCAGAATATGACAAGCCTCTTGAAAGCATACCCTCTATAAATGGCACTCCAAGATACCTTCTATATAATCAGAGATGATCCTTGTCATTTGCTGGGATGCCTTGACAAAAAGTAACCATTTGTAAGAGGAGATGATGAGATGATGAGATGATGCAGGTGTAGGCAACCAGAGCCTGAAAGAAACATGGATAGACTAGATGGCCCCCAGTCAAAACAAGATGACAACGAGATAATATTCTTAATAAGAAGCTTCTGGGGATCACATAGTTGGGTTTTCAGTGAGACTAGCTAAAAGACAAGACAAGACATCAAGTGTTTGATGGCTTACAGAATTAACCTACAGACAAACATGCAGACTTTTGTATAGCTATGCATTTGACCATTACATAAATGCACTTTGACAACAGCTACCATCGTCCTTGTGCTGCCTCTGCAGAAGCCTTGTATGTAAATGACCATCCCACGCCTTTTCAGCAGACATGTAGAAACCAAACCGTTTTTGTCAGAGGGCAAAATTTAAAAGTCAAATACAAATCAATACAATGGATTAAAGGCATGTTTGTAGATCAGTGAATCCACAAAGACTCGGAGGTGGAGAAGTTCCCCTCACTGGCAACAATAATTTATTTAAATCCCAGAGTGACAGTGCAAAGTATTTGAACATTATAATGCCCTGTGCAGTTTGTTTGTTTATCTACAAAGATTCCTTTCTCAAGGCGTTAAAGTCCATTCAACCTTCCCTTCACAGTTAACAGAACCTGGCGAAGCTAAAAATGTTCCTCTGCCTTCCATCAGCCAGCAAACTCGAGCCAATATGTCCACAGGCATTGTTTTGTTTTTTTAACTTCATTCTTTTTGTGTTTTTTTTTATTTTTTTAATTTAAAACTCTACACATAGTACTATTTTTATGCAGCTACTTTGTGTGCAGTGTCTGAAAAATGTGTTTCATAAATCTGGGAGGGACAAATAATTCATTTTATCAACCAGTAGATGTGTTGATTATTGTAATTCAGATGTTTTATTACTTTGTTTTATTGTTTTGTTTTGTTTTTTGTTTTTAAATCTGGGTAGTGTTTAAATTATTATGCCATTTGATTTGCGAAAGCACTTATCACACAATCTATTTCTTTTACTTTATTTAAATGTCATGCATGCATTTCTAACAAATGGATGTGCTTTCTTCCATAATATGTTCCCTTTGTAGATTAGATAATTAGGTGTATAACTAACTGTCTATAAAATATCAAAATTCCTGCAACATTTGTCTAAACATATTTATTGATACACCATTTAACTCAAACTTCATTACCATCATTGCTTGTGCTTAATGTGTGCTTTGCCATGCTAGGATATTAAGTTACACAAATGCTAATTATCAATGATTGAGGGTGCTAAAAGCCATCCTGTCAAGTAAGCTCCAATTTTACTGTCTCAGACTCCAGTCTTATTTTGTCATAATTGTAATTACAATCTTTCCCTGTCTGTCAGCAAATCATAAACAGTTCTTCAAAGGAGTTTTTGAAAGCATCTTTAAACCATTTTATTTCAGCAAAGTGTGATATTGTTAGGTTTCTGTTTATTTTTTCTTTGGGCAGGCTAACATGCTAACTTGGCCTTTACCCAAAGGAATGGAAACTATTATTTTTGGTGAGCCATTAACCTGCCTGCAGATTAGGATTGGGCATTTTCAGTGAAAAGTACTTGATTTATTACTATGTAATACTGATATGCTAAAGCATTGCTAATATTAAACCTGTTAAGCATCAAAATGTTAACGTTACTGTTAATTGAGCATGTTGAAACATGTTTGTTTAAAGTAAAATACAGTCTCACAGTACAGCTTTTAAAAACTCATTCTGATCTATCCCTTATATTGATTGTTCCTTTTGCTCTTGACCTTTGATGATGCCAGCTGTTGCATTTTCTGAAAAAGACAGCCCTTACATCGTCCATTTATTTGCATTCGTTTATTTATGTCTAAAGGAAAGTAACAGGCTAGACTGTGAAATGTTTCTTCTATTCAACTGAGCGCTAGACCCACTATCAGTAAAAGAAAAAAAAACACATCTGCTTTTGTTATGCAGCTAATATAGTAATTCATGTCACACCCTGGCACATATTGTAGCTTCATTGCTGAATTGTAATGTCTCTATCCCTGTTTGATCAGGCTCCAATAATTTCATTTTAAAACATGTAGATCATTCTGTCGAAGCTATTAACCTTTCATGTGAAGCTTTTATTTTTAATGCCCTGTTTTTATACAATAAATCATAGTTATCTAAAGAAGTCTGATAATGGTGTTGAGCTTGAAGGTTGAATTACCATTTCACTTGATGCTAACATGAAAGCTGCTCCAGAATATTCTAACTATGGCTGCACTGTGGAGGCATTTTCTTTCTTCAGTCCAAGCAACCTCACATAAAACTGTGAACCTTTTCTCAGGCATAGTAGGAATTTTTGAAGACTATTTTACAGTAGCGATGACTGAATTTCGGCTTGATGAAGAATGGCTTGTCATTTGTGCAATGTATAACTGAAATGGCATTCTTGTAATTGCAGGAGTCAGTTGTGTTGGGCAGAGTGGAGAGTCTGCCAATATGACAGAGTGCCTGCAATGGGCTGGTCCCTTGCCCCCTCAGATCAGAGAGTGTCGTGTGGCTTGCAAGGATGACTGCACTCTAACTGCATGGTCCAAGTTCTCTGAATGTGCTGGATGTGGCAGCTCTCGAATACGAAAGCGCTCACTTGCAGGTAAAGACTCGTTATTCACGGATTGTGAGACACACGCAATTTCAAGGCAACTATTTCATCTTTGCTGGTAGAACAATTGGATTGTGTTCTCAGGTCAAGCATTCTCATATTGTTGTTTTATATTTTTATTGATATGGCTGGAAGTCAATTTGGAAATAAATAAAAGCAGAGAGGATTAAAGCTTTTGTAATGTCTGAGCATGTGGCAGTTTTCTTAAGTC